TCGTGTGTTCCGTTTTGTCTAGAGCCGTTGTAGCAGTTTATAGACGTAAAGTACTTGCTTTCCAAATGTTTAGTGGTTGAATCATGGAACTATCTTGGAATGATTCATTGCCTCATTAATTGGCCTCGAAATTTCGTGAATGAAAGCCAACAATTTATGATAGAGAATCAATGATGATAAATGACTTTCGGTCTCTGAACGTTTTGACTGACAACAAAACCGAAACCTCGAACTTCAGGGCAATGGGAAGTTAATTCGAAACTTGGTGAGTAGCGCATTTCAGGTAGCGCACTGAAATTTGGTATAAATCCACGCCCATTGCATATCCAGTTTTGTTTCCAAAGCTTCGTCCAACATCTAGAGCCATATTTTGATCTTATCAGTGTCATCGCCGAAAAAGTTAATATAGGAAAGTCAACTCTAATCCAATCCGAACATGGAAATAGTTTTGGAAGAACTTTACTGTGAACTGAAAGCTCACTTTACTGACGAAAATCCACTAGCTTTCAAACGACGATTCTGACGCTTTGAAGCGAAGGCTATCGGGCTTAGAATACGCATGTTTATAGCATATAACCTTATAATCTCTATCGAGTGTTGAGAAATATTGATGTCAAAGTTATACGGGTCTTCTATTCATTATTAAGCAGTTCTGTTCCTTTCCAAATCTGCAAAACGTTGTTCATATTTTTGTAGCCAAAGCAGATTCGACTACAAGTCAACGCAGCTCCATGTTGGGGAAGCGAACCCGTATATATTTAAGGCATATTAAACGCTAATTCTCACACATACAGACCACCTAGCAATTATCTATTTGAACGGAAATGAATAAACTATCCGAGAGTTTTCAGAATTTAACAATTCATCTGCTCAATGAATAATTTAAATCACCGTTGTGCATCACCATTAATTTTCATTTGAGTTATATCCCATTTATAATACTAATATTTGCTATGCGTCGAAAAAGTTGGTGGCTGTGTACGGTTTTGTTGGACTCGATTGTTTTAAAACCTCCTACCTCCTGAGAACCCTTTCGAGGTTACCACATGTGTATTTGTTGTGTTGAATGAGCAGCTACTCATCTGACCAATCATTTAAAAACTTGTCTGAATGTCATATGCCAACAGTGTACGGTATGGTGTCTTTCTTCAGGTTATTTCCAGCTAAACCTTTTTGATGCTAGTTTTTATTTCCTTCTTTCTACGGTTCTTAATGACAAACGGAACTTGAATAAAAAATGGATAACTGATACATGGTAGATGGCTGCCTTTAGGAAGTGATGGTGGCTTAGAGATGATATCTTCTATTCTGAATACAGTAAAAAATACGAAATGTCCTTGTAAAAATTACGAATGTTCTGGTTTACTGTTGGAAGAAAACGTTGGCGTTTATCATATAGAGAATACAAAACTTCAGCCACACGTCATGTCGAATTTTTCCTCTGGTGTCAAGACTCTGAGGGAAAAAGCACCGTATGATTGGTTCAGAGGTAAAAAATCTGGTGCAGTGACATTAGGAAAACTTTCATGTTTATGCTGTAGCAACCTGTCATCGAGATCAGCTGGGAAGAGGGTCCGTTCTCTCATCAAGAGAAGATTTCTTGTTGTTGTGTTGCAGTTGTCACAATCACTGATTTATCCGGCTCCTATGACATCCCGGATCGCTGCTTCCCACCTCCATCCATTAGGTCCAATGTCCGAGACCAAATAAATCTTTTCTCTACTGTTCATACCCGTACATTGCCACGGCGGATTTCAACGTCAACTTTTACAGTGACCTACAAGGGCTTAACTTGTCAGCCTATTTTTCGGTGCCAGGAATTAGAGTCACCACGGATCGATTGAAATAAGAAGTCTACTAAGAAAAAAGAAACGTTTTAATTGAATGATTATTGGTACAGAGAAAGCTGAGAGCCTTTATCATTATTCACAGCGATATTTCAGACGTCACCGTAGGTGCGACTCACAGCGCGGTTACTGTTCAGAGCGATAGCTTTAGATTGAAGACTTTTGCACTTCTAACCTTCTTAGTACCCATAGCAAATAAAACGAAAGACTCTTTCCTTCTCAGAAAATTCGTTCTTTAAATTATGGTAACTGCATATGCAATTTCCTAGTAAATGTATAAATTCCCATCACGATCACCTGATAAATATAATTTCCAAAGAACGATATCGATCACTAAAGGTTCACAAGCCTGTGATCCCGGAACGCTGAAGAAGTGTTGAATGCTCTATACTTAACTGTTGTGTGCCACGTGACGGTCTGTTTTACATTTTCCTCAAATAATATGCAACTGCTAACTACTATGTCAGTTATTGCTATCCTTAGTTTTATTGTTTATTTATTTTATTTGTCTTTTAGTCTTACTCTTATTTATTGCTGATGTAGCTTTATCACATTTTCCCAACGTAGGCGTCAAAAATAAGATTTGTCAGCGATTTCGCTGAGACAATCAGTAAAAGGGTGAAAGCTATGCGAAGAGTCATGAAGTGATTTGCGACACTTGATAATCAGTGCGCCATCTTACGTCAGAATCATGAATAATAAAATAAATAACTTATTCCAACTTCTTTCGTATGGCTTAGAGGATATCACGATGTTCAGACTCCAGATTTGTAAGCCGGTGAATGACATCAATAATCAGGCTCTAAAATTCCCGGACATCAGTAATGCTGCCGTTGAGTATTTGCAGGGGGCATTTGGAAATAATGTGCTGCATGGTCTGGCCTTCAGGGCCGCAATCATGCAATGGACTGGACCTCATCTTCTCGAGGTGTCTGCAGCACCCTTGTCTTGTCCGAATCCGGTTCAACCCGGACCATTTTTCGCGAGCCGAGTTCATGCCAGGGGTTCTGTGGTCGGGTTGAAAACACGTTTATGGGCAGCTGTAGCGTCCCACTCTCCACTGTTCCTCGAGACTCAGTCGTGACGCCGTCACTCGTTCTCAGGGAGGGGATAGGGTAACATGATTTGATCGCACGATGGATGAAAAACCGTCGATTTGCTGTATTAGTGATCTAACCTGATCTAACCTATCAACTATCGCTAGGAGTCTGGTCGCCCTACGGAGCTGAGGGAGTTCAATAAATGCCAGAATCGCTAACCGTTGCGTTTGAATCGACTTTCTGATTCCTGCTACGATTCGTACTAATTCACTGAACGGCGGTCTGCTTTCTAGTGTAGCAGCTGTAGCTGCAAACGGAGTGTTAGGGGGGCAGTGACAGAGTACATGTGCACTAGGGCCGTCGTACGCAGCAATGGAGCACCTACACCCCAAGAGGTGGTGGCAAGTTTTCGGTTTTGATCTCCTGTGTGTTTCTGATGTGTGGCTTAACCGTGAGGGTGTGGCCAAGAATGATGCTAGTATTTTGGTGTTATTTTGTGCTACATGTTGACCAGAAGCTTAACCGTGAGTTTAGCTTTGGTCATTCGGCTGTCCAGGTGAAAGACTGTCGCTGAAGTCATCGCCGGCCGTGTGAAGGTGTTGCGTCAGAATAGCGACGTCAGCAGTCTAAGTGCGCCGCTATGCTTCCGCAGATCGGCACATCCGGTTGTTGGCACGATGGCATTGGAGTAAACGAAATTTCTCGATGAGGCTAGTGGGGAGTCGCTGATAGAGTTGTTAAACAACGATTGAGGAAATACTTCACTTTGTGAGAATCCGTTGTTCAGAGTCCTCTCCTTGCTAACCGGTCCATCGATGTGAACCCGGTACCACGGTCGCTAATCATGGCTAATCATAACGAGGCGAAAGGTCCTCGTCACCTGATTATTCAAAAAATGTTGTATGTGAGACCATCATGCTCGCCATTCCAAAAGCAGGTAATGATCGATCAAGGCATCCCCTTTTTTGAAAAGCTTAAACCCTGCTTCGATCAAACTGGTAGGGGAAAGCAGCTGCTCACAACAGCTGCGGCCAGATGGAAAGTCAACTGGTTCCACAATGTGGAAGGATTTGATTATAACGGAAATCCGGTTTTATATAGTTCCTTCCATCAGTATCCCGGCTGTGCACAGTAATGAGATAAGCTTGTCGCTTGTGGCTGTCCAATCTGTTAGGAGGGTGATGACTTTGGCACATCACCAGGCGAACAGAATTT